GGATGGGGGAGGAGGTGGGCAGCAATATATTGTTAGTGATATACCCTAGAGGCAATCATAGAGATGATTGTATCACACACTATGTTTACATATTTATCCGACATTGTTCCTTGAAATAGATAACTCATTATTGGTTAATGAATATGTGATTCTTTCATGAGACTTTTTATGTTGTTTGTTCCTATTTCTAAAGGATCCCTGATCAAATATCATATGTGGAGCAAATATGTTTAGATGATCAACACATGTATTAATTGATGATCATGTCTCATGGATCATGGTATAGAGATACCAAATTAATAATGTGGACACATGTTGGGGAATATGTTGTTGGATAGACCCAACATGAGACACTGCAAGAGCCATATGTGTTGTGTCATCAGTGATCTCATTTAGTGTTGGTGTTGAATCCTTAGATCTGAAATTATCATAGTTCTCAACATGTATAGTAGCTTACTTAGGGACTACTAAACGCTACTCTATAATTGGGTAGTTATAAAAGTAGTTTTCGGGTATGCTATGAAACATATAGTGGGATATGAATAATCAAGATGGGATTTGCCCCTCCTATGGAGAGATATCTCTGGGCCCTCGATGTTGTAGATTATGGAAGTGTATGGTCATACCAAAGGTGATTGAGGAGTCAATCACAAGTTATATAATCTATCAATAGGTTCGAGTGAATGATTGAGCTATTAGAGGATGACACATATCTAGCCTTGAGCTTAATCGATATCGTGAAGGTTCATATAAGAATACACTAGAGGTTCAGCCAATATGATATTTATGTATGCCCGGTGGGTCAATACGTTCTGCTAGGGGCCGCTGTTGACGCGTGGACCGAAAAGAAGTTTTCGGGTTATAGCCGAGTGTACATGAACCTACAGGGTCGCATGTTTAATGGGCCGGAATAAAGGGATTGGATGGAGATCTAATATGAGCTTAATTCGGATAGGGATCCGAATAAGAGTCCTACGGGCCTTGGAGGCCCGAGTGATAGATCCTATATATTCGTGAGTGTGATAAAATGTGAAGCGTTGAACCCTTTGCCTCGGGCCGCATCTCTGTTAAATAGTGGTAGAAACAGCCTCTATCATGGCTTACAGTATTCAGTTACAATGGATAAGAAGGTGAAACAAATTTGGAGATAATCTCCTTATCCTAATGAACCATATCCCAGTGATCTCTATTGTCGCATGTACTGGAACATGCGCAAGTACTGGAGTATGCATGTATATCTCATGTTCAGAATAATAGAACAGACTGTTTCACAGCCCCTCTCAATTATAACCTAGTTAGGTTAAGATTGTGTTTAAAATTTTCAAGAAGTCGAGCTGACAGTGCCTTTGTAAACCCGTCAGCAACTTGGTCTCCTGATGGAACAAAATCAATCTCTAACAGCTTCTGTGACACTCGTTCTCTTACAAAATGATAATCAACATGTATATGCTTTGTCTTTGCATGAAACACAGGATTAGCTGATAAATATTTGGCTCCTAAGTTATCACACCAAATCTTGGCAGCTTTAGGAGACTCAATTCCCAATTCTTTTAACACGGTTTGTACCCATATCAGTTCGGCTGTAGTATTTGCCACAGCCTTATATTCTGCCTCTGTGCTTGACCTTGACACAGTAGGCTGTTTCCTAGCACTCCAGGACACAAGATTAGAACCCAAAAATACTGCAAATCCTCCTGTTGATTTTCTGTCATCTATACTACCTGCCCCGTCTGCATCAGAATACCCATGAACAAGAGTAGAAGCACTCTTGTGTACATGAAGTCCTAGACTTGTGCACTGGTTCAAGTATCTTAGGATTCTTTTTACTGCTATCCAATGACTGGTAGTAGGAGCATGAAGAAACTGACAAACTTTGTTTACTGAATAAGCTATGTCAGGTCTTGTCAAGGTCAAGTATTGTAAAGCACCAACTATACTTCTATATTGTGTTGCATCATTAGGACCCAAGGGTGATCCCTCATATAGAGTTAATTTTTCACTAACAGAAAGAGGAGTACTAACTGGCTTGCAATTTGACATATTAACTCTCTTTAGCATATCATTTGCATACTTCTCTTGAGTCAAGATAACGCCATTGGAAACTTTAGTTACCTCAATTCCAAGGAAGTAGTGCAGGTCTCCCAAATCCTTAAGTGTGAACTCCTTGTTTAGATCCTTCAGAAGTGCTGTAGTTGCCTTCTCTGTAGAGCTAGCTACAATTATATCATCAACATATACCAAGACAAACATAATTATCCCTCCTTTGTTAAGAAAGAATAATGAGGTGTCAGCCTTTGAAGCTTCAAAACCAAGTTCAGTAAGTTTCTTACTCAGCCTGGAATACCACGCCCTTGGTGCTTGTTTCAGCCCATATAATGCCTTATTCAATTTACATACATAATCAGGTTTAGAGGATGACTCAAACCCAGGAGGTTGTTGCATGTATACTTCTTCTTCTAAGAATCCATGAAGGAAGTCATTCTGAACATCTAACTGTCTAAGACTCCAACCTCTAGAGACAGCAATGGACAGAATAATTCTAATAGTAGCAGCTTTAACAACAGGACTAAAAGTATCTTCATAATCGATACCATATCTTTGTTTAAACCCCTTTGCTATAAGTCTAGTTTTATATCTGTCAAGTGTCCCATCTGCCTTCCTTTTAACCTTATATACCCATTTACACCCAATGATATTTTGTCCTTTCTCATATGGAACTAGGTGCCATGTGTCATTTTTTATCAAAGCATTATACTCAGTTTCCATTGCATCTCTCCAGTTTTTATCTCCTAAAGCCTCTTTATCATTTTGTGGTTCACCAGTAGAAGAAAAACAACCATATTTAACAGTGCCATTAGTGTATACCTTCTCTTTTCGAATACCACTCCGCAGACGAGTGTGTGGTCTCGATGCAGGGGCTACTGTAGCCGCTACTGTACCCGTCACATCAGGCGGCACCGGCTGGGATTCTTCGCCACCTGCTGCTGCGCCATTTGCTGCTCCAGCTCCCAGGGTGGCAGTGTCTCCACCCGCGTCAGAAGCTGCGCCAGAGACCGCGTCACTGGTGTTAGCTCCCTGGTCCGGCGCAGTGCTGCTGTCAGCAGTTGGCTGATCCAGCACAGGTCCCGATGCCGCGTCCCCATGCACGTCGTTCCCATGCATGACATTCTCTATTTCCTGCTCATTCTCCATTTCCTGTTCATGTGCTGCACTATTTTCTCCAGAAGTCACATCAGCAGCATTAGAAATTAAATTATCACTAGGTAATGGAGTATTAGCCACTGGTGCAACTATATGTGTTCCCCCTGCACTAACCGTATTATAGTTTGTCAAGGGGGACGGCAACAAAAGAATTTCAGACCTGAGTCTGGCTCCTGCATTTGAGTGGAGTGTAGAGAAGGGAAAAACATTTTCATCAAAGACAACATCTCTTGAGATGTAGACACGGCCTGATGACACATCAAGAAACTTAAATCCTTTGTGGTGAGTACTAAAACCCAAAAACACGCACTGTTTGGAGCGAAACTGGAGTTTGTGTGTATTGTAAGGGTGAAGATGAGGCCAACATGTACAACTAAACACTCTCAAGGATGAGTAGTCAGGTTTTTGGTTAAACAGTTTCTCTAGGGGTGTAGAATTTTGGATGGTTTTACTAGGTATACGATTGATGAGATAAGTGGCTGCAACAAAGGCTTCATCCCAAAACTTAAGAGGCATTGATGCATAAGATAAAAGAGAAAGGCCTACTTCAATTATATGCTTGTGTTTTCTCTCAGCTGACCCATTCTGCTGATGAGTGTGAGGACATGACACATGATGATCAATTCCTATTTGAGCAAAAAAGGAATTAAGTTTCTGATATTCTCCCCCCCAATCAGTCTGCATGGCAATAATCTTTCTATCAAACATTCGTTCAACTAAAGCCTGAAATTCTTTAAATTTCTCAAAAACCTCAGACTTGTATTTCAGCAAGTATATCCAAGTAAACTTACTAAAATCATCAATGAAACTCACATAATATTTATTTCTCCCAACAGACTCTGGAGCAGGGCCCCAAACATCAGAAAAAACAAGTTCAAGAGGAAATTGAGACACACTAGTAGATCTAATATAAGGTAACTGATGACTCTTTGCTTCTTGGCAAGCATTACACACAGACTGATTGACTGACTCAACTGAACATGGGAGATTATTTCTGCTAATGACTTGCTTAACAATAGGAAGAGACGGATGTCCTAGACGGCTATGCCACCTAGACAGGGATAACTTGGCGGCACCAAGGGCTTGTTTGTTGGTTGAGCGACCAAAGGACTTGGGGATCGGGTAGAGACCGTGTCTACATTTCCCTTCAAGCAGAACGTCCCTCGTTACTTGATCCTTTATAGAAAAGAATTTCGAGTGAAGTTCAAGAAAAGCAGAATTATCAGCGGCTAATTGACTAGCAGATATAAGATTTTTCTTGGCTTGAGGAACATAAAGGACATTATTTAGATGAATATTACGGCTAGGGGTATGCACAATAGTATGACCAATGTGACTAATATCCATACCTGCTCCGCTAGCAGTGTGAATCTGCTCGCCGCCGTTGTATTTCTCCTTGGTGGTAAGCTTCTCTAGCTCACCGGTAATGTGATCTGTAGCACCTGTATCAATATACCAATTTGTATCTATACCATACGAGTTAGTAGCAGCAGCAACGAGCTTCTCATCTGCAACGTAGTCCTCGTCGAAGCGATACCAACAATCAGCTGCTGTATGCCCACGCTTGAAACAAACTTGGCAGGTAGGGCGCCTGTCTTGGCCTCCTGTGCCGCGCCCATGGCCACCGCGACCCTGGCCGCCGCCACCGCGTCCACGCGGCGCGCCTCTGCCGCCGCCGCCGCCGCCGCCGTCGGAGTTGTTGTTGTTGCCGCGCCCACCGCCGCCACCGCCGCCCCTGCCGCGATTAGCGACAAAAGCAGCTCCTCCCTGACCAGTGCTGCGGTAGAGATCAAGGAGGGTTTCAAAGTTGACGAGCTGGGAATACAGCTCCCCAACCGTGATGGGATCGGACTTGTTGCAAAGGTTGGAGACGATCGGGCTGAAGTCTTCATTTAGCCCAGCAATGATGTATTGGACAAGGCCTTCTTCATCAAGTGGACGACCGCCGGCAGCCATCTCATCACAAAGCGCTCGCATCTTGGCGACATACTCGGCGATCTTCATTGTTCCTTTCTTCGTGTTGGTGAGGGCGAGTCTAGTGTTCACCGCCCTTGCTCGAGTGCCGGTGGAGTAGAGTGCTTCAATGTTCCGCCATGCCTCAGCCGCCGTCTTGCATGTGGCGACTTGGATCAGCACATCCCTTGAAAGAGATGACAGGAGATAGCCAAGAACAAGCTGGTCATTGGCCTCCCAATCTTCAAATGCCGGATTCGGCTTTGTTGTGGTCTTCCCATCTATGGTGACCGAGATTTCGGCGTTTGGAGCTTTGATATCGCCGTTGAGGTAGCCCAGCAATCGGGCTCCATGCACTGCAGCGCTAACTTGCGCTTTCCACAATGCATGGTTGGCTTTCCCGAGTTTCTCTGAAACCGAGTGGCCTTGGAGGAGATTGGCGGCTGCCGTGCCTGAGGAAGACGACGACGACGCCATGTGGATGAAAGATGCGATCTATCGAGGTGGAAAAAGGATCTGATACCATGTGATAAAATGTGAAGCGTTGAACCCTTTGCCTCGGGCCGCATCTCTGTTAAATAGTGGTAGAAACAGCCTCTACCATGGCTTACAGTATTCAGTTACAATGGATAAGAAGGTGAAACAAATTTGGAGATAATCTCCTTATCCTAATGAACCATATCCCAGTGATCTCTATTGTCGCATGTACTGGAACATGCGCAAGTACTGGAGCATGCATGTATATCTCATGTTCAGGATAATAGAACAGACTGTTTCACAGTGAGGGGTGTGACCGGCGGAGGTATTGCATTACGTGAGAAACCCTAGCCGTCACTCCCCTCCCCGAGCAAAACCTTAGCCGCGCGCGGGTGCTAGCACATCTGCGCGTGGCGTTCCGTCCCTGTACGTGTGGATACCGGTAGAGGCGCCGCTGGTTTGCGGTGCTGATTGGAGTGGGAATACAACGAGGAGAACGCACGAGGAGGAGAAGGTCGAGCTGGTGCGATCGACAACTTCCTCTACATCGACGCGCGCTACTTCGCGAGAATTCCTTTGACTTCTTAGCGCTTTCTTCCACTGCACAATGCGTCGAGTGGTAATGATATATGATCTAATACTTACATGGTTCCTGGTTTACGCGATAGAAAATTTTAATTTTTGTTATCGTAGCCTACGCATATCCCAACATATATGACGAGTTCCGACGATGGCGAGGCCCTCTCCTCCCACGCGCGGGCGTGACGCCATCTCCGTAGCCGTCCCTTCACTTGCCTGATATCGGCGGACGAGATCAGCACACGCGAGCACGAATCCCCTCGGTTCGCCGCCCATGCGCGTGGCGATAATGGCGCCTGCGGCTACTTGGCGATTGAACCAGCTGCCGCGGTGACGGACAGCGTCGTTGTCAGGCGGCCTGTTGCCGCGAGCTAATGAATATTCTCCTCCAAGCTTCAGCGGCGTCGGGCAGCTCTCTCTGTTTTGCTGAATGTCTTCTGTAATGAACTGCAAATAGAGGACTAGGAGGGTGTGGTTGTGTATATGTTTGTGAAGGGAGATCGATTGATCGACATAGGGAGAATCGAGAGGAAGACAAGCCGTCAGGTGACATCCGGCAAGCATAGGAACGGTCTGCTGAATAAGGCCTACGAGCTCGCCATACTCTGCGATGCTGAGATCGGACTGATCATCTTCTCCACTCGAGGACGCCTGTATGAGTTCTCCAATGTAATTAAGTGAACTGGTATGTACATGCATCCACCAATTCATTTAATTTGCTAACAGCTTGGAAATTAATAGACGGCACCATATTTGACTCAATTGATCAAGTTGTTACTGATCATCATGTGTGATCGAGCTATTGTAGTTTGTCAGTTAGCAGATACTTAATTACAAGCTTAATTTCTTCCTCAGAACATATGCCAGCTACGAAAATCAGCATGCTGTGTGTTAATCTGCATGCATCCACCACTTCATTTAAATCTACGGGATCATGTCTGTGTGTTGCAAATTCCAAAACAAAAGTCACTTGTTGATCCACAGCTACACGCAGAGGGAGGGGTGCTTCTACATATACTTGCCTGGTACCAGTACGAGCAATGTATACTGTCGTTTGTTGATTCATCTGCTCTTTGCCTGCGGAGTATGCATGCACACCCTCCACATCGGAAAACAATAACTTATAAGAATAAACCTGGACAAATGCTTGTCCAAATTTATCTCGAGAAGTTGTTTTTTTTTTATGGAGAGAGTAGGGCACTAGCTAGGCCGGTTCTTTTCAGATTTGTTTCCATATTTTTGAAACGGGTTATTTGCTACATGCTTTTAAAAATACATTCTAAAACAACTTTCTTCTAATGCATTTGTTTGACCACATGTGTAATCTATTTGTGAATTAGTTTTTTTAAATATTAATTTATCCTGTTAATTAAATAAACAATCCACAATGATAATATGGTAAACAATCACTTTCAAAAGGAACTGTAGGAGTTTAATCCTTCATTGATAATATAAGGTTTGGTTTTAGGAAATTCAAATTTAAAAACTCTAACTAATAATTGAACTAAAATTTAAAGTTGGATGTAGTATCATTATACTTCCTTTCCTTCGGGCCGGTAATACTTGTTGTTTTCGATAAAGCTATGGTCAAATTTTTAAATAACAGAGCAAACGTATGGATTAGTCTTAAAAGTAGTTTAATAAAATCATATATTTATTGATATTTCTATATATATTGTATTGTAATAAAAATTAGCAGTTACAGTTATTTTTTGGAGACCGTGTAATTGTCTAAGACGATAAATATTACCAACCCAAAAGGAATATTTATATTTAACTATATTTTTCTATGATTTAACTTTATAGTTGTTGACAATGTATTATGAAAAAAAATCAAAGGTCTAAAATAATTATTATGAATGAAAACAATGGATAAAAAACCAATACTACTGCCACAACAACTAAAATATCATAAAGATGCTCGACAGAAGTACGAATTTTACTAAAGCTGGCGGGTCATCCCGCAAGCTTCTATCTATCTATCTCAAGCTGGTACTCGCTCCGTATTTTAATGTATGACGCCGTTGACTTTTTAACTAACGTTTGATCATTCGTTTTATTTAAAATTTCTATACAAATATAAAAATACTTATGTCATGCTTAAAGAACATTTGATGATAAATCAAGTCACAATAAAATAAATTATAATTACATAAATTTTTTGAGTAAGACGAAAGATCAAACGTTTGTTAAAAAGTCAACGGCGTCATACATTAAAATATGAATATGGAGTAAAAATTTTGCCAGCTAATTGGTCCATTTGTTCCCTCTAATTGATTGACACGTGTCGCCTTTATACTTGCCCCCGCCTCACACGATCGCATCGCATCGCATCGCATTCGCATCCCCCAGTGCGAATTACCTATAGCGCGCGTCTGCGCCAGCGAAAGTCGCGCGCGGTTCCGTCCCAGCCCATCACGCGATTGCACAGCTACGCAGTGCAGGGAGGTGGGGACATCCGGACATACTCACGTTCACATGGGCAGCAGATAAGATCAGATTAGCGTAATCAGGTTTTGATTAATCACGATTTGAATTACGGTGACTATTCTTTTTCTCTTTTTCCATGAACATTGTTTCCTTTTTATTACTACAAATTTGAAAATTCTATACGTAAAATTTAAACTTTTAAATAAAATTTAAAACTTTCTGAAAAAAAGTCATACCAAAATTTAAAACTTTTAACTTCAAGGCGAAGCTTCGAGCGAGCACCACGGCGCGTACATGGCTCTACGCGGTTACTTGCTTGCATGCTCGTGCAGCATCATGGGCCATACAGCCATGCAGCAGGTGACAATGCAGCTCCAATGGGCCATCCAAGCCCATCTGAATGTGGGAAGAAACGAAATGGAAAAAGTACATCTAAGTTCCCTTAACTTGTCATCGAGCTATAAAATCGTCCTCTAACCGCAAAACCAGATACAACGTATCCCCCAACTTATAAAACTAGTATAAACTAGATCTCTCAGCGGTTTTGAACCTAGTTTTGTTCGACGTGGCGGCTGAGTCAGCGCGAGACCTACGTGGGTCCCACATGTCAACGTAAGACCAGCCTCTCCTTTCCTCCTCTCTTTCTCTCTCTTCTGTCTGTACTCTGGACTGGGCAGGCCGGCTTCGTCGTCATCGGCGCCGCCTTGCCCGACTGCGACCGGTGCAGTGGCACGGCGCCGGTGCCAGGGACGACGGGCGGACGCGAGGTTGAGGGTCTAGAAGAACGGGTGGGACTTCACGTCGGCGGCGCCACGGTGGGAGCCGAGGGGGGCGGCGGGTCCTTGGCGAGGAGGCGGGATGAGGCCGCGCGCGTCGGCGTCGGCGGTGGCGGGGCCGCACGAGCCGGAGGCGGAGGGGAAGGCGAGAGGCAGCGGACGATGTTGCGGAGGGTGGCCTCGTTGGTGGCGCCGGCGAACGGACGGCCGTAGAGGAGCTCGTAGAGGAAGTTGCGCCCGCGCGAACCAACGTAGCAACAACATACGGCCGCTGCGTTTGCGGGGCGCTGACCGCTGGACTAAAAGCCAGCCCACACAGGAAGAGGAGGCAGCGGCATGTTTGCTTTGACTACGCACACGTACACGACTTGTTCACCGCCATATGCCTCTCTCCCATCAAATCATCCGCCGCTTGTCGCTGCTGCTACGTACTCCTTGTTAATAATCAGCTTGATTAGTTAATAATCAGCTTGATTAGTTAGGTTTTACGATGACGGCAACAGGGACAGATATGACGGCCGCCCTACAAGCGCTGCTCGACCCGACGGCGCTGTCCCTGGGCCTGCCCACGCCGGCGATCAACAAGGAGGAGTACCTCGCCATCTGCCTCGCCGCGCTCGCCGGCACGCGAGCGAAGGCCCTGGTGGGAGTAGGGAGACGAGCAGCAGGTGCAGGCCTACAAGCGGTTGTCCCCGAGGCCCGAGGTGGCGAGCGGCGGCGCGCATGGCGCCGCCGTGGACTCGTGGCCACCCTCCGCAACATCGTCCGCCGCCCTCTCGCCTTCCCCTCCGCCTCCGGCTCGTGCGGCCCCGCCGACGCCGACGCGTGCGCCCTCATCGCCCGCCTCCTCGCCAAGGACCCCGCCGCCCGTTGTCCCCGGCCCCGGCGCCGCGCCGCTGCACTGGTCGCAGTCGTGCAAGGCGGAGCCGACAACGCAGCCACCGCCGACGACGAAGGCGGCCTGCTCAGAGTCCAGAGAGGAGGAGAGGAGAAGAAAGGAGAGGCTGGCTTGCTTAAGTGGCCTCCTGAGATGTGGGGTCCACGTGGGTCCCACGCTGATTTAGTCGTCACGTCGAATAAAACCGGTTCAAAACCGTCTGAGGTTAAGGAACCTTCGGTGTACTTTATTGGTCCAAATCTGTAAATGTATGTACTACCTCCATCCCATAATAGTCGTTGCTCTGACTTTTTCCTTGCAACGTTTGACCATTCGTTTTATTTGAAAAATTTGTGCAAATATGAAAAATGATAAGTAATACTTAAAGTACTTTTGATAATAAAATACATCACAAATAAAATAAATAATAATTTTAAATTTTTTTAATAAGACGAATGATAAAATTTTACAAATAAAAACTCAAAGCAACAAGTAATATGAGACAGAGGTACTACTAATTTAGATACTTTATAATACTCCCTCCGTTTCACAATGTAAATCATTCTAGCATTTTTCATATTTCTATTGATGTGAAAAATACTAGAATGACTTATATTGTGAAACGAAGGGAGTACTTATGTATAACATGTACTCCCTTCGTCTCCCTTCCTCTCATTTTAAGTGCAGCTATGATTTTTCGCTTCCAACTATCATCCGTTTTAGTTAAATTTTTTTGAAAAATATTAAAAACATAACTCACGAGATCTCTATTTGTATATTTAAACTAATCTTCGCTACTTCAAATTCACAGTGTCTGTTAGATAATAACAACATAAATTTCAGTAAAATCTCAAGGACTAAAGTTCGGTACGCTGTTGTAAACAGTGCAAAAGGCAAATGCTCGCCGGGCAATAACGACCAGCGAAGAAAGAATACAGCTGTTGATTACAGCTACACCTACACGCCCAGTATCTGAATTCTAAAGTCTGAACGCATACATGCAAGATTGATTCCACGGATCAAATAGCTAATCGATTTTGAGTACCAACATCCCACAAAACAAAATTAATGCATGCTTGTGCTCTCATAGCTGGCATTGACTTACTCAAATTACACATTCGCTAATGACGAGGAAAGAGAGCGATACTCTTGTCTGTAAGCCTTGTAGCTCTTGTACTTTTTGATAAGCATGCCAAGCAGAATAACAGCGAAAATAGCATTGGTAATGCTCACAGCCTGTAGAACAGTACAAGTTAAATTCTAAAACATATGATCTTTAATATTTCTTTTAGAGTAGCATTAATAGGCAACATTTTATCATTAAGTGACAATAAATTAAATTCTAAAACATATAATCTTTGATCTTTGATATTTCCTTTAGAGTAGCATTAATACGCAATATTTTATTATTAAGTGGCAATAAAAATATTTTGTTGATATAATATATACATGTTTTTTCTTTGATGCATTACCATTTACTAAAAAAAGCATCAAGCATAAATGAGCAATGGATCCTTACCATGAGCAGTGAATCTCTGCTACTCAAAATAGCAGCATAAATGATGAAGTAACATGAATCGACGGTTTCAGGAAGCAAACAATCATTCCTATTCCATAATGCATCTCGAGATTCATAGCTTGGGCTAACTCACGATTCAAAGCTTCAGCTTCTGTAACTCACGATTCATGGCTTGTAGCTTTTTAACTTTACCTATAGCCTTCCACTGAAAATAATATCAGTATTTGTCATGAGACTTATATACACCATAGCAAGTATCAGGTTTCAATATAGCATTCAATTAAGTTATAATTCAACTAATTTAACATCAACTGTTTAACAAACCCCTAAAATAAATTACACTGATAATTCATAAATGTTTAAGTCATAATAAAATTGTAAAATTGTATGCCATCTAAATTAGTGTCTCAAAGAAAAAAAAATTAAAATATAAATACTCATAACTGCCTTTCTTAAAATTAACAATGTGTACGTGCTATAAGTTAGAGGCTGCTTGTTTGGCAAGCCATATCTTAACGACGAAAAAGTGAATCCCATAATGTAACATGGATGTGCCACATCTTTCAAATAATATTAACCGTTGGATGCTAAAAGTAAAACAGGATTTACCGTTGGATAGAGGTACAAATAATAAAGGGATTGCTTGTTCCTGAGGCTTCCAGAGCCAAGGCAGGAAAAATGAGTGATGGAGAGATCGATGATCATGAGCAACAGCAAGAGGCGTCAGGGTAGATGCCAATTTGATTTTATATTTGACCATTCTATAAAATCGTTTTATACACGAGCCCTTAATTTGACATGTCACTATTTCAAAATGGCAAAACTTATTTATAAATGAATCTGTGGCTTATTTACATATGGATGAGAGTTGAGAAATTGATATTTTTAGAACTTACATGGCTTATATTATAAGGATAATAATTTGAAAAAGTATTCTAAAAAGTACTACGATAAAAATGAAAATGTTCATAATTTTACATGAAATACAATGTGGAAAGGGGATAACAATGAGATTATGATATGTAACGGCTCAAACATATATGAAATTTTTATAGGTTTAGATAAAAGTCATGTAAAATAGCCCGATTGATACACTAGAACACCACCGTCCCCCATAAGTTAATATGTATATTTCTCAAGTTCAAATAAGACGGTCATCAACAGTACAGATGGTGAGAAGGCGCAGCTCAAGTAGCATTGAAAGAAGACAGATATTAATACCGAAATTTTTACGCCAAAAACTTTACAAATTTTGACACTATAATAATAGGCATATTTTGCTACAGGACACTGCTAATGTGTGGTTTTAGCCCTACGACACTGCCCAAACTAACTTTTGGGGGAAAACACTACGTAAACGTGGTAATTTGCTAGTGAATACCGTGACGATTAAAATAATAATTTCCGGTTAAAGAGGAGAGAAAAATCACGTGAAATGTCAAAACTACCCTTGGGCCCACATTTTACGTGATTTCTCTCTCATCTTCAACCGGAAACTATTATTTTAATCGGCGCGGTGTCCACTGGCAAATTATCACGTTTATGGAGTATTTTCCCTCAAAAGTGAGTTTGGCAGTGTCTTAGAGCTAAAACCACACATTAGCAGTGTCCTGTAGCAAATTGGCCTATATAATACTATGATTAGAGTCGCGCGAATGTGCGATTTAATAGACTAGTCTAAAGTAGTGAAAGAATTAATCTTTCTCATCACCAGATTATGCCACGTCATTGGAATAATAAGAATCGTCCGATGCAACTGAGATTGAACAGCTGCCATTAGATGATAGCTAGAACGGTCTAAGTAATTAATAATGAGTAAATTTCAGAAACTGCAACTATAGTGACAAAACTATCAGTTTGCTGCAACATTAGTAATCTATTTCAGTTTGCTGCAACAATAGCGTGGGAAATTATCACAAAACTGCAACTTTAGAAAGTTACTCTCTATTAATTTCCCACGCTATTGTTGCAGCAAACTGAAATAGATTACTAATGTTGCAGCAAACTGATAGTTTTATCACTATAGTTGCAGTTTTCTAAAATTTACTCATTAATAAAACATTGGTGAAGGCCAAGGGTTTACATGAGTCACAACCGGAAGGCTCGTGAATACGCAGCGCCACGCGTTGGAACTCGGAAGGAGAGAATGAAAAAGATCGATTAAAAAAAAAGGCTCACAACCACAATTTCTAATCGGCTCCACCGTCGTCTGATGTGATCGTCTCCTCACCTCTACCGGTCCGCCTATATTCCCGACGCGGCGCCGCCTCCACTGCCGTCGTACTCTTTGATCCCCATGCGCGTGTCACCGAGATCTAATGGCTGAAGAAAAACCTCTGCTCCAACCCCAAGCACCCCACCGCCTCTGGCCGTCAATGGAGTTCCAGTTGCCGACGGAAAGACAGAAGGAGAACAGTAGAGAATAGAGATAGAATGAGGTGAAAGGGCATGTAGCCTAGTGGTTGCAGTGACCTGAGTAGCACCCCAAGGTCATGTGTTCAAATCTCCATAGGAGCGAATTTCAGATTGGGTTATTTGAGAGCTAAGTTCCCTATGCGATAGGCTAAGTTTCTACTTTAAACCTATTCGATAGGCTAACCGGATGTAGATGCCGGGTAAAAAATATCCTCCTATGTGATAGGCTAAGTTTCTACTTTAAACCTATTCGATAAGCTAACCGGATGTAGATGCCGGGTAAAAAATATCCTTCTCTCTTAAAAAAAGAGATAGGACGAGGGAGGAACTAGCCTACCAGTCAGGACTCAGGAGCAGCGACGCTGGTCACTGGAGGTGCCCATAGAAGAAGCATAGAAGAAACAGAGATTTGAGTGCAACGCTCCATGCCGATGCGTGAAGAAAGAAGCGATGGAAAAGATGGTCAGGCCGGGATGAATGGCTGCAATGCTCTCGACCTTCATGCACTCATGTTACTTTTGCGGTTCCACTCATATAAAAGTTTTTATGATATACACTTCGTTAAATGAAAGTATTCACAAAAGTACCCCTATACTGTACCATCAAGAAATGCTCTCACTCTATAAATAACTGTTTATTTGATATCTTTATTCACAGTTTTTTTACAAAAAATAAAAGATTTTCTTTATTCACAATTCTATAATCGATCTTTTACAAAAAATAAAAGATTTTCTTTATTGTGAATGAAAATTGTAAGTAGATAGTCATGTAAGAAAAATGTTGTATAATATCATGTAGTAAAACTTAGTTAGATCCAAAGTTTATTCAAGCAGTGAATGTTCTATAAATAAATTTAACATAAACCAAAACCTTATTCAAGTTCTTAAGCGGAAATATAAAGTCGCGCAAAGCGTGACTATATGGCTAGTACCATTGCACCATAAAGTACTTAAAGAGGTTTACTTAATTAACCGCAAGAATGAGATCTTACCGGATCCACCAGAGAACTACAGCCTGCTGTAATAACAGTCAAAACTGTCATGACGTACATTAGCGCACCCAAGGGTTGTTCCTTACTGACGTGAAAATGTAGATCTATCAGATAGATAAGAATGGGGGAGCACACAAAGAACAGGAACATCGAGATAACCATCTGCATGTTAATGGCAGAAAGAATTGTATCAGACAACAGATTTCCCTCGAAAAAAAAAAGACAACAGATTTCACTATATATGGACAAGGAGTATTTTTAAACTACGTACCAGAAATAATCCCACGCAACGAAATTTTTGAGAACTCTTCCGGAGTCCCAGGAGGAACAGATACACCGTATCCAAAACAAATCCAGCCACGCTAACAAAGAGAGTAGACTTGTGCTCTTCGGTGTTAACGACGAACAACAGGTGAAACACCAGCACCATGTTCAGCATGGCTCCAGAGAAGACAGAAAAGGGTGACTGATATTTCACGGCTGTTTCCAATCTTCGCAATACCAACACAAGAACCCTAAAGAAACAATCCAGTATTGTCACACTTTGAATTTTTCCGAATTTGATCTTAAAATACATTTCTTCAATTTGCTAATAACCAAAACAAATTTATTATGCAAGCAAAACAGCAAATAAAAAAACTAAGGCATGCCCCACACCTTCTTTCTCCCATTGGGGCATTTTATCCCAGTGGTTATTCGTTCTTCCAAAGAGTTCCTACGATTTATACCGGCTCCTCATTCACTCGCCAATCACCAGATGTGTCAATTTGCTATTGTCAGCAAAGTTCAAGACTCATCTAGAGGAGGTAAATCAATAGATACGGGGTACGCCTAGTTGAAGCAACCCCTATACTTCTATGGGTTGTTCCAGCCTCTACTCGGTATCCCGCAATACTATCGCACAATCCTTTAGAATAGTCAGGCCATACTCTTCTAGATTGAACTTGGCCTCGCTCAAGCAATCCATGCTATGCATCACTACAGTGTGCTTATTCATGCTGGCTTCCACCACAATGCTGAACTGCTCCCTCTGGAAAACCAAGCTCTTCTAAGCGGACAATGTATTATTTGAATTGTAAAAACCTATTCTTGCGTCACCTTCTACTTTTAGAAATGGCAATCAGTCCTAGATTCAATAGCAGGGGGCAGCTAGTTCAACAGTTACTTACCATTTTAGGGCTTCTTTCGAACCACATGATTTCTAAAATGCGGGAATAATAATAAAAAACATAAGAATAGGATGTCACATACTTTGAATTCCTAGGAACACGAAATAAGTAGATACAAAAATACATTTGGATGGTTCACAGGAATCTTAAAGGAAATAACATGTGGAAGAGAGAGCAGAGAGAGAGATACTTAGCAAGTGTTTGACCAATTTCACTTACAGTGGTGCGAGGTCGATAAACAATGATACAATGTCGAACACAAATGAAACTCGACCAATTTCTTCGACGGCAGAGCCATGCGAGTCCATCTGTAAACAACATCGTGAGTGTATTAGCACGCAAGAATTAAAATGATGACAAATTATGTAGTATGTACATTTGGATTGAGTGCTAGATTCAGAGCGCAGGTAGGCAGGTAGCGACGGGATAGAGTTCGTAATTTCGTAAATGCACAAGAGCTAGGTTGGTCATCCATGAAAGAATAACACCAACATAACAATAAAATACACGCGTGGAACAACATAATATTGCATTTTATTATTATTATTTTTCATTATTACATACATGAAGGTCACACAAGTCAACACCCACAAATCACAAATGTGCATTCTGATACGTGCTAAAGAAAAACAGAGAAAAATGCTACTAATATTGATGCGTCTACTAACGCACGCTCAAAAATACGAAGGACAACACCACTAAAATTTAACTAAAATCTATTCAGAGTGCACAATATTCAAGAACCCCGGGATCTTGATGTCATGAGCGTTGCGCGCGACAAAGCGAGTGTTGTGCGCGCTTGCGTTGCTCTGGTTCAGGAGATGCGCTCTGCTCTGCACCGTCACGTCACGAGCACCACGCCGGCATCACCAAGACCTCCTACTTCGGGGTTGGATTCTAATAGCTCGAGTGAACGTCCACCCGTTTATTGCATGTCAACTAAATGGCTACGAAAAATTTTCAAAAAAAATTGGCAAGATAGATCAATATGTAATATATCACTCCACAAACATGCAAGTTAAAATTCAACTTCTACAAGTTGTAACAAAAATAACAAATTTAACTGTAAATATACATATAGTAATTTGAGTTTTGTTTGTTATTTATATTATAATCTGTAGAAGTTGAATTAACTTGCATGTTTGTGGATTGATACATTACATATTGATCTATCTTATTCATATTTTTTTAATTTTTTTCATAACCATTTAGATGACATGCAATAAACGGGTAAACATCCACTCGAGCTGTTAAAATAGTTTCCCCTCCTACTTCGTGCGCCCAACGAGCTCCTCCCACTCCCAGGACTGCTGATCCACCGCGTCGAGGCGACCGACGCGTGGGAGTACATCGACTTCAATCCTACCCAGTGGCCGGCGGCGAGGGCGTCGACACGACGGAGGCCATGTACTCGCGGAACAAGGAGGGCCGTGCACGTCATGACACGGCACGCGCCGGGCCGGTGCGACGCGGCGGCGAACGCGTGAAACGTCGGCGTCGGGCTTCGCTATGAGTGGAGCAAGTTCTACGCCTCCATGGCGCATCCCGCATGCTACCACCTTGACTGCGACGAGCCGGACGTTCGACGTACCCGCCGGGACGCCTTGCCGGCGCCTCGTTACCCCTTCTCCCCCCTCTCTCTCTCTCTCTCTCTCTCTCTCTCTCTCTCTCTCTCTCTCTCTCTCTCTCTCTCTCTCTCTCTCTCGTACACGGTACACGCGAGGCCCGCGTGGCTGCGCACTCAGCGACCGCGACACGCGCGCGAGATCTGCGCTGCTGCGCTCCCGACTTGCACCGCCGCGGCGTTCTCAGGCGCGCACGCCGCACACACCCAGACACCGCGCCTGCTCACAACCCCCCACACCGCGCCACCACACGCGCACTCTCGGTCTCGCTACTCACACAACCCAACCCACCACCACGGCGCCACCGCTCGCGTGCGCCAGCGGCGCTTCGCTCTCAACCGGCGGCGCGAACCGCGTAAGAGCGCAGAGCGCTCCGAGTTACCCATGGTTCCATCACTCACACGCAGAGCGTTCGCAACTTCGCACACGGTGCAAGCGAGAGAGGGGAGGAGGAGGAGGAGACGAACCTTCTTGCCTCTTGGTTGATCTGGAAGCGGAACGGATCGGAGAGACGAGGCCGGGGAGGAGGAGGAGGCGCCACGGCAGGATCCAAGCGGACGAAACTGCGGTTCACGGTAGCGCCGGCCACGGCACACGCTGCGCTTCTGCCACAAGAGAGAGACGGTAAGACAACGAGAAGATGGCACGGCCGAGAAGAAGAAGAGAAGCAGAAGATGGAGATCGAATTCGAACCTTCACCAAGCGCAGATGGTGTGGTGGCCGAGGCGCAAACGCAAACGGGCACGGAACCTCGTTTTATTGACGGAGGTGAAGGGGAGAAACGAAAGTTGGAATGGTTTGTTATGCTTTTCAGAGCTGCAGTGGCAGCTTTGGCAGGCCCAGTGATTCCTTGTGTTAATTATACTGTAATTCAAAAAACTTCTTGTATTTTTTTCTCTCTTTTTCAGTTTGACCAAAAAGTTAATTTCTGGTTTTACATTTTACCTCTAAAATAATTATGCCTAAACAAATATTCCCTTTGTTTTTTTAATAGATAACGCTGTTGAATTTTTTAGCAACGCTTGACCATCCATCTTATTAAAAATTTATCTAAATGTTATTTGTTTTCTTGTGTCATGTTTTATCACTAAAGAAAATTTAAATATTACTTATACTTTAGTACATTTACACTAATTTTTTTATAGGATGGATGAATGATCAAAACACTGCTTAAAACAATCAACGGTGCCATCTATTTTAAAAACGGACGTAGTAGAAGGTAAGAATTATATATGAACTCCAATTCTACTCTACTACATGGTGGTCTCATTGGCAATGACGGGATGGTTAAGCTGGTGATCGTTGGGGTTTGTGCCGCCGTCGACGCCGACGAAACTAGCACTAGTTGATTTTGTCGGTTCTGAGAATAATGGTGGTGGCCTGGGCTCGCACGGTCGCATGGTCTTGCGTCAGGGTGCCAATGCTCGCTCGCTTGCGAGCCGGCCTGGTCGCTCAAGAACGCCGCGCCCTGCGCCCGACAGACATATTCTGTGGCGTCGTGCTGCTAGTCTGTTAGACCCCTGTGCTTGTGCGTTCGGGCCGGCGCGGCGAGCACGGTGTTCTCTGCACCCCGACCACCGTACGCCGCGCGAGGTGTGTATGCATGCTCTCGCGCGCGCTAGCGTAGCTACGAGCCGTGCCGACGTGCCGTCCCCCGCCCCCGTACGGTTCGCCGCGCGGTCGTGGTGAAAGCTAGCGTCCGTCTTTGTAAGACACAGGAAGAGAGCGCGGTGAGCGTCGAGCGCCACGATCTTGGCAGCCGCGCGCTCTGCTCACGCGGCTTTCTTCCACTTCCACCAGCGCGATCGAGTGTGCATCCCGGGGTGATCGGTGCCCCCGCGCGCGTGGCGCGCATGGAGCAGTTTTTCGCTGTAAGAAAGGGGAAATTCCTTGTGCGCGCATGCAATCTTGCAAGCTCACAGGGTAAGTAGCTGGCAAGGAATAACGGATCCCGCGCATGCGATCATGCAAGCTCCAAAGGTGCAGTCGACGACCGCGGGCGCGGCACCTGTCGCGCGCGCGCCCGCCACGCCGTGCGTCCAAGTCGGCGCAGGCAAAATTCCCTTCGCTTTCTGCGGCATCCTGCCGAGGCCTTGCATGCATCGGCTCCGGTCCGGCGCGAGATCCTCGGCCACCGCCGGCGTCATTGGTCATCCCCACTTCCCCAGCACACCAGTTACACCACAGGCGCACAAGTTCCGGCTCGCCGCGGCGACCGCCGTCTACTGAACGGTCTCTTCTACGCCAAGCGCGCGCCCGATCGTCTGCCTCATGCACAACGTACCTGTACTCGCGCGGTGGCAGCTAGCCAACCAGACAAGCTGCAGATTTTCTCGCCGAGGTCAGTTCGCGGAACGACGTACTCGCGGAAACATGGGCGCCGCGCGCGCGCTCGGCGCCATGCGAGCATGCATGCATGGCTTTTCCTCGCGCCGCCGCGCCAACGCCATCGTCAACTTCCATTGCACGCAGAGTCCGCTCCAAGTAGTCTTAACGGGATCGAGCACAAAACGTCGCACACCGCCCGCCCGGCCGCTGTCTCTTGCTGCTGTCATCTCGCGTCGTCCTCGGGTCTTGGCGTCTCGTTGCCATTTCGATGCTCAGCGTGTTGCAACGTACCGTTTTACGAAAAAATTTAAAAAATAAGTCATAAAATAATATTCATGTTTTATCATCTAATAACAATAAAAATACTAATCATAAAAAAAATCAAATAAGACTGACGGTCAAACGTTGGATATAAAAACCTACATCTGCACTTAAAACGTGATGGAGGGAGTGGTTTTTAGAGTTTATTGTCTAGTTGGGTTTCGTTTTTAAAATAATATATTCATGATTTACAGAAGTCCTGTCAAACGTCACCAATGCACTCCTCTACGTCCCGTCCGCTGCCTCATCTCTTTATTATCATTGGGATTTTAAAAATCGAACATAATTATTGTTTATGTTTTTTTTATTTTCTAGAAGTCCCACCAAACCGTCAGCGGTTTCGCCACTGTACTCTTCTACGGTCCGCCTGCTGCCTCCACTCCTTATTATCGTTGGGATTTTAAAAATCGAACTTGATTATCATTGTGATTTATTTTTACTTTCTATTAAGTCCCATCAACCACTGTAACCGTGCTACTTAATGATATGCCTATCGTTCCTCCTCTTAGTCGTCATTAGGATTCTATTTGGGGTTTTGTTTATAGTTTTAGTTGTTCCATCAACCACCACCACTCAACTCCTTTACGTGTGTTTTGCTTCTCCTATCTTTATTGTCATTTGTCATCGTTGTACTCTGGATGGACTATTTTTTAAAAAAAATCAATATTTTTATTCCATTTTTTTTCTAAATTGTATTCCTAATTGAACTCCTATAATTATTTTTCTATTTTCAGAATTTATTTTATTTGTTATTCCAAAATTTTATTAATTTCTCTAGATGGTCACTTCTTTCAATAGTCATTATTTTTATACGAATTTTAGTTATTTATAAAATTTATTCCTAGTTTTACATTTTTTCTTTTCTAATTTTAGAATTTATTTTTTTTTGAATTTTAATTAATTTATATTGTGCTCAATATGGGCTATTCTTTTAATATTCCTTATTTTTTATTTTCAATTTCTACTTGAAATCTTTTTTTATTTTCTTATTTTGGATTGTTTTATTTTTTATTCAAAATTTTGATAAATATCATATTTGGCTCTTGTATGGACTCTTTTATTTCAGTTATTTTTTTTATTCCTACTTGAACTCTTTCTTTTTTTCTAATTTCGGATTTTATTTTTTTTATTTGTAATTTTAATTAATCTCATATTGTGTTCTTATATAAACTCTTCTTTTAATATTGCTTATTTTTAATTCTGAATTTTAGTTACAAACATAGTACTCCTATTACAATGTTTACCCTACCCAGAAATCCCGAATATAGAAGCAGCTGCAAGACCTCCAACAAGACATTATTCTCAGGAAGATTCCACAATACAAATTGAAACAAGTTTAGTTGAGTCTACCTTCCAAAATATAAAAGTATTATCGTGTCAAAACCATATGGCACAAAGGAAATATGTGTAGTCTTATATGCATATATGCATCATAAAAAATTGGGCTTGAGCCTGTTATTAATGTCACTTCAAAATACATGATATTTGTTATATGAAACAATTGTAATATCATGTTCCTTGGTTCTCGTTGTCACTCGAAAACAGTCTCCTGACAAAACTTCTCCGCGGCCTTCTTGATCTTGCAGCTGAAGCGATTAACAAAGCTCAGTTAGTAATCTAAAAGTACAAGAAAGTACGGCATTTAGCTATTTATATAGGATAATGTGACGCCAAATGTGATATAGACTGATTAAACAACTGGAAGTAAAGTTACCTTTTAGTCTCCCAGACTTCAACAAAGCTTCCTCGGCAATAGGCTTCCATTGCTGAGCACATGAGAATCTGAGGCCCATCCCAACAGTCAACCCACGTAAAAGTTGTATAGTTCGAAGCACTGAAAATAGCTCTTCAGGGAAGCTCTTCAAATAAAAGAATAGAATAGAGACACCATTTAGTAAGCAATTCTGGAAGTCAAATAGTACCAACAAATATAAACCATCCATCTCCATAAGAGGTTGCAAGTAAATGGAAGAAAATATGTTCTCTAAATTTTGAAGCTTTGTTAAATAGAAAACATGTTTCAGACATAAAAAATGTATGTTACTAGATTATAATCCCATACCTGCACTCCAACTTTATTTAGTGAAGAATCCTCGGCGAAGGGTGACATAGCAGTTACTCCTGGTGGTAATCTAGTATCAAACATTCTAAGGGATAATTGAAATAATTCTTCTAGCTCATTATCAGCTATACTCCATGTTTCAATACCAATCTCCCTGGAATATTTCAAATGCCATAAGAAGAATAAGCAATGGAGACCAATAAAAATTCCACAGGAACGAATTTTCCATCATGTCATTAAGCTCTATGCTACCTATGAATGTAATATGTTAACATATTTTTATTTATTACTTCACTACCTGCACACCAGTGCATTCACTACGGTCAGAAAAGAATCATACATGTCCTAGTACTACTGTTCACAACAAATTAAATGAGTGTGATTTTTTTTAATCGAAGATTACCATCCATATTTTTGTCATAACTCATAAGGAGCACTAATAAGTAAAATTAGCTTTCATGCCACAAATATATGCGAGTTAAATTAGCTTTAATACCACAAATATATGTGGCACTCAGTCATATTAGACCTTTCTAGATTTTAATTTGTACTTTAGAGACCACATAAGAAAATAATGGCAAATGAAGGGACTAATATGCAATATTGAAGGACTACAAGAAGGACTTGGTAAATAATGTAGTGTAGAGGTGGAGTGGCAAATTCACTGCCACCACCACCATTGGCTTCTTGAAACAGTATAGATATAACTCTTGACTGTTTAAAGAAATTTGCATAAAATTGGCCAAATGACACTTAACAAGGCAAGCGATTAGTTGTACCTGAAACTTTCTTTAGTCCTCAAAAAATCATCATCAGCCATTGCAATTACAAGATTTGCATAAGCAAGTCGTAAATCCTCTGGCATTGCTTTCACTTGTCCATAATCAAGCAAAGCTACCTAACAGAGGCCACCACAAAACTATATTCAACAAGAAAATACCATTGCCAAAAAAAGGAAGAGAAAGAGAAGTCTTGCCTCTGTGTTCTTGCAGATAAGGATGTTTCCTGGGTGTGGATCTGCATGGAAAAAACCATCCTTCAAAATCATTTGACCATAGGCAAGTGTAAGATCTGTTAAAATTTTCCTGCATTAAGAAAAACAATATTTTCTGAGATGGCCTGAGCACTGGAAAGTAGAAACAATCAGAACATCTGATAAACCAAAAGGTTTCTTTTAGAGAAACTTGTGCTCATATGTCCATTAAGTTGGTTGGGACCAACTATCCCAGTAGAGGAAAAATAGTTCAAATGTTGTTGTGGAACTTCTTATGTGACAAGAGGTTGGACAAGGGCTATTGTGTAGAACAAAATATCACCACACCAACTCAAACATCTGAAGTGGTGTGGAAATGAATGGAATCACTAAATACTAATACGACCTACTCATCATCCCTAGATCTATTCTAGACAGCATGATATTTTACTGTAACAGTTCCAACATCGTTAAAACATCAAAAAGATACTCCAGAAAGCAAAACTAATGTAAGGTTTCATAAACCAAGCAAATGAGGGCCATACTCTTTCGAGATGAAGGGGCTTACTGCTTTGCCATTGTTGCAATCTTACCACCAGGATCAATGCCCCTTTTAGCCATTTCATTGCCAAGATTCATTATTGGTGTCCCTTCAATGAACTCCATTACCAAAACCTCCCTAACAAAGCAAAGAAACAAAAAAAAAATACTGTTTTATTCATACGAAAATAGCACAACCCTGCATGATGGTTTTGAAAAGAAATAGATGAGGGGATGGGCTCAACGAATTGAAATCATCAAATCAGCATCATTGCATCTCAGTAAAGACTCTTCTTATTTTTATCAACAAGTGGATAAATTTATACACATCACAGCATTTCCTACATTTGCAATACGAGGAATAATACAAAATCAGGAATGCACATGATGGATAGTCATCTGTTTGTCAAATTTGAAATTCTTAACCAGCCAAAACCTATGTCACAAAAGTTCCCGGATCGATGGGTCGAGAAACGGGATCAAGGAAAGCGTGACGCTACTTATTTGAGGTTTTAACACGCGAGAGACGAGATTGTTCCATGTTCCCGGTGACTTAGGCCAAAACACAAGAATGCCACTCCACTGTGGGCAAATACATAGACTGGGGCAGGCAGGCCAACTACAAAGTATATGCTAAATGTGTGTGTTCCAATGGGAATAGCGTGTAAGGCAATTACTCCTACATCGCCCCCCTTGTGCAATGAAAAGGCACTGGAACCTGCAGATAAGAATTATCTCATTGGACGAAAACCCCTCTTGAAGGAAAAGAAACATGCTAATTCGAATAAAGTCTCAAGCAATTAGCAAATGGACAATTTATAAATGCTCTGTTGAATTGAGTTCTTCTGATTGATGGCAGCCTATGTATTGACCAGTAAATTGGTATAGAGGTATATTTTAACAAAATAATGAATGCTGTTCATAGAATAGACATGGCACAATACCTGCTAACCATTTCAGGAATCACACGAGGCACTATAACTGGAGGCTTTTTCTTGTTGGTCACGCGTAAGAATTCTCGTATTCTTTCCATCGCCTTTGCTTCGCGCACAAAGTCAAACTCATAGCATATCTTGGATGAAATGATGTGTTCATGCAAAATAAAAACATGGATTTAATATCAACAGTTTTGATCTCATTCATATTTGTATAAAGACAAGTTTACAATTTTTAGTTCTCAGTACCGTCTATGATTTATGGTGACATTTGCTTCAGAACTAAACTGGAACTCATGTGGCATATTCTCACATACAACATTAAATTTTATCTTAAACAGTCCATACAAACATTTGATCTCCTAAATAATTGATTATAACATTGTCCCTGCAAATATTTTGTCCTTTCTTGTTTATAACAGCTGAATGATTGGGTTTATTTCATATCATGTATTGTTACTCATTCTTTCATTTCAAATGGCCTGAGTGGTTCGGTTTGTTACATCTTCCATTTCACCAGAAAGGCACAGAAGATTAAAAACAAAAAATCTGATAGAGTTCTGATTTGTACAAGTCAAGAAAATAATACCGTAAGAGGTCTGAAATTTATCAAGGTTTTCGAACAGGTTTAAGCAAGTGCAATGGGATAAGCAACAAAAGAAGACACTGGTATTGAACTGAATAAAAACCTGCTTTTCCATCTCCTTTGTCGCAGAGTACAGGTCAAAATTGATATCATACTTCTGCAAGAACAATGCAAATGCTTGCATGTTCCGGATGTCAACCATCATCAGTTTTTCAGCTCCTGGATGTTGAACCTGGAGAGTTCCAGATTGCCAAAGACAAATAGGTCACATAAAACATAAGAGACAACAAGAAAGAATTATGAAACAAGAAATTGAAATCCTAACCTTGACAGCAACATCTGTTTTTGATAGTTTAAGCCTTGCTCGGTGCACCTAGCAGATTTGAAACAATACTTAATAAGTACATGCACGAATGACCTTTACAGATAAAGTATTATGGCACAAAGAGCCAAACTGCATATGCATAGACATAGATCGTGCAAAGAAGCAGTGTTATACAGTTTCACCAGATCATACAGGTGATGAGAAGACCTGACGAACCTGTGCAATGGAAGCAGACCCAACAGGCTCAACATCAAAGCATTCAAATATGTCATCAAAGCTCTTGCCAAACTGTTTCTCCACAACATCTCTAACTACATCAATGGGCGTGGCTGGAGCATTGTCACACAAGGTTACAAGCCTTTTCACCCAAGCCATTGGCGCCAAATCGGGCTTTCCCAGAATTTGTGCAGCCTGTCAAAATCCAGTATCACAGACCATTCAAACATCAAGGAAGTAAAGACAGTACATCTCGATCATGATTCATGAATGAATAAGGCACCAGGGGTGCAACTACAGCTACAGTATAAGTCAATTTTACCTCCTGCCCATCGCAACAAGAATTGTCAAATATTCCCTTCTAATAAATCATCTAGGTTTCAGTCCCAACCCTCGAAGACTATATACAACCAGCAGCTCAACAATCCATGGGAGAAAAAAAGAAGCAGGAAGTACCTTGAGGAAGAGGCCGCCGAGCTCGGAGCAGAGGGAGTACATCTTCTGGGCACCAAGCTCGTGCTGCTGCTCCCACATGGCCTCCCGCTCCTCCTCATCCTTGACGAACCCCGCGCGCAGCTGGCACACCTAAACCGATCACACGAAACCCCATCAAAACCTCAGAGCCATATCATCAAACACCTCCCGCGCGCGCGCGCGCGCGCCTGGCGCACCAACCAATGGAGCAATGGAACAGGATCAGGCGGCGCCACCTTGTAGCTGGTGTAGATGTCGGCAGCGCGGACCCAGAACTCCGCGGAGCGGCTCCACGGGCGGAGGCGGTCGGTGATGCGGTCCCCGATGTCCTGCAGCTGCGCCAGCGCCAGCGGCATTGCTCCCTCCCTCCCTCTCACCCTCGCGCGCGCGCTCGCGCTCGCCGAAGGGGGCGGACGGCACGAGGACGAGGTCGAGGTGGCCTCGCCTTGATTGGATGATGCCTCGGCCACGGCGCGCCGTGATTGTGCCTGATTGGGGTGGGGTTGGGGGGGATGTGCACGGCGCGGCGCGACGCGATATGTGGCTCGCGGGCGGCCTCGCGTGCGTGGCTACTACTAGCCGAGCCGTCCACTGAGAGCAAGTATAATAGGAGCTATTAAGAAGCTTACGTGGAGGAGAGATGTAATAAAAAAAATTAAGAAGGTTAGCTTTTATGTAAGAGCTAGCTTAACACAATTTCTAAGACAAATATATTAAATATATAAGTGAGAAATAGAGAGAGAAGAAAAAAATTGTAGCCAAACTTATAGCTACTATCTATACTATTATCAGCGTCACGTGAGCTCGCTGGGTTTTGGACGCCAGCGGAACGGAATGTGGAGAGGTGGGTGGGGCCTCGTGGAGATTCCGGAGTTCGGGAGAATGGACGGTCTTGATTGACTAAGGACGGCCTCGAGATTCGTGCTCGCGGAACTTGCCGACGCGGCACGGCGACAGGTGGCCTCTCGCTCTCCGTCCGGACTCCCGGACTCTTCCTCCGCCGCCGCCGCCATGGCGATGGGCGCGGCGGTCCGGCGGATGCACGCCGCAGCGGCGGCGGCGGCGGCGGCGCAGCCCCCGCGCCTGACGAAGCTTGCGCTGCACCCGCCCAGATCGGTGAGTTCCTCCTCCTCCGCTCTCGGCGGCTAATTTCTTCCCGCTTAGATCCCGTGCGCTTTGCCTGTTCCTTGCTTCCTTCCTACTGTTGGTTGGTGGTACTTCGTTTGGTGTCGCGAAGCCAAGTGCACTTTCGGTTCCAAACTCGCTACATCGCCGCATTGGACCACCTGCTGTATTGCTGCTGTGCCGTCGACTTCACTTCATCCATTCATTTACTGTTGTAACTTACCTTGATCCTTCTGTTTGAGTAATGGGATTGCGAAGTGACTAGCTGGAACTCGAATTGGTTCTGAGAGTATTGCTCTTTTCGGCAACGGGGAATGTAGCGAATTCATCATACATTCATACTGTTCATCCGTGGGTGACCAGACAGCGAAGTATGAAAAGAATCGCTAGTGAGCACTACAATTGGTCCCCGCTCTTCATTTTTCCAATTGGGTGCTGGAAATCTTGTGAAATCTTGCGTGCGATCCAGGTGGAGCTCCAAATCAGTGGCAGCGAATAGTCAGTCATCTTTATCCCAAATATCTCGGATCATGTCCTTGTCAAAGTTCCTGCCATGGTAGGTACCGAGAAATTGGTTCTTATCATTTTTGTTCAGTGGTTAATGTAGTAACTGCTGCTCAACTTCCTGACATATCAGCACTCTGCTAACATGTTGCTTCATACAATTTGCTAATGTGCGCTAATATAGGACATAATTTGAAGATATTTGTTGGTGATTGTTTGGTCGTGTACACATAATGGCATCAGTCACAATTGGATTGAGCTTACAAGCCACAATTAATAATGAAAATCTCACATTGACTGAAGTGCTATAGCCATCCCATGATAAGTGCTCTAGTTTATGTGCAATTTTATTGTAGAAATTACTGACATAATTTTCTTTTCATTTTTTCTCATTAATATGATCTTGCTGAACAGGTGTTCCTCCATATTGCTGCATGATGCCTCATGCCTTGATCAGGGTATTGGTGACTATTGAGCTATATTTACTGTTCTTCACAGGTGGAGGTTGAATTCACTGATGGTAGCTCATTCCATCTGTCAGCTGAATTTCTAAGAGTACATAGTCCAGCAGCTGACAGCAAAATAATATCAGTATCTGGTGAGAAGGTAATTTTCTGCTACGTAGTATATTTTCTATCACTCCATGATACACTTGATCTTATGGAACGTCTGGTTTATGCGCACCTATGCTGGGGTGGAAAATTATGCACATTTTGCTTCTGTAGGGGTACACTTTCTGTTTATAGAGTATAGACCATTCTGCCTATACCCATTTGTTTGGTTTTTTGGTCCTACAAACCTTAAAGCACTAAGCTCAGGACAAATCCTTAATAATACATATAATAGAAAAGTACTTTCTCAAAGTCATGCTTTTTATTCCGACTTTGCTCTCTGCTGTAACAGAAAATGTTATAATGTATTTACTTTGTAACTCCTGATCAGGTTATATTTGGGCGACGGTATGTTGGAATAATGTCAGCTGAATCAGTAGGAAACTATGGAATTCGGTAAGGGTCTTATGATGGGAATATCGTTTGCATGCTAAAAAAATCATGGCACATTTTTCACTTACAATAATAAGGAAATTGGTTGTGGCATCTAGTCGCTTATAAACAATTGGACTTTTCTTCTATAAAAAGAGAGATTTTTGTTCTTTTCTCTTCAACGCCTGATATGACCAGTTATTTGTGCCACAGGATACTATTTGATGATTTGCACAAGACGGGGATCTTCACATGGGATTACTTGCATCATCTGGGTTCTAAAAAGTTCAGTCTGACGCGAAATTATATCAGAACTTTGAGAAAGCATGGTCTTAGCCGGGATCCTCAGAGAAGGAAATGATGAACACAAACCTTCACTCAGATTCAGATTGTGACACGAGGAAAACTTATGTACGCTTTCCGTACCAAGTCTCAGTAACAGTAATGACTGCTGCTGCCAATGCTGGAGAGCACTAGAACGAGAAATACAGAATGTATGAAACCAGATAATCAACTGCTGAATATAGTAACAGTTTTAGGAATGGCGACTGAATACTGATGATACTCTAGGGTTCATTCTTTGAGGTTTAAGAATGAGGGCTGCTGTTTTGGAGGCTGATGTTTCAGCCCATCCAAAAAGAGCTGCGTGTAGTGCGTGAGATCTACGCGTGTATCTGACGGAGAAAAAGAAACATACGACGTTTCAATTGGCTGGAATGTTTTTGACTCCATGACTCAATGTCGTTGTCCAATTGTTGCTCCGTAGAGCCATGTGATCCGTGCAGCTGTACACGAAACTACGATTTGAGTCGTGATCACAGGCTTACATGTTAACACGAACAGGCATATCAAACGAATACGAATATAGGTTCGAATATAAATGTGAATATGACGCTGACACGAAAAGGTATACTAGACACAAGCTTGAGACTTTCTAGTTAAGGCTAGATAGGCTTACATGCCCATCGTAACAAACTACAACAATTCGAAGAGGGGAACACGAGAGTTTCGACACGTTCCAGTTAGTCAAGCCAATTTTCTAATAATAAAAGGCTACACTTATTTACTACAAATGTAATAGTTAATCTTACATTCTGTCAGATCAAATACATACAGGGAACTAGATAGATGCATCAACGTAAGGGTGTTCTAGAACATTTTACTGAGTCACGTTAATGTTATGGGCCTGACAAGCGAGGCGCTTGAAACATTTTGGCAGTGTTTGGCAAATGTCTAAGGGAAATGATTTCCCACCCCTCTTTAAATCTTAACCATTCATTCTCCCTCATCCATTTAATCCTAACCCTTCATTCATTTCCCAATCCCAATCCCATCCCTCATTTCCCATTATCCAAACACACCCTTTGGGGGTAGCATCAGCAGAAAAGTTAGCAAAGAGCATAACAAACGACTTCATCCTCCTGCAATATGCAGTTCAATAATAAGTTATGGCAATTCATAATTTCTTTTGGTGAGAATGCAAATCCATAGTTTTAACAGCTTTAGGTTTGGAAGAGAGTTTCGAGCTCAGAGAATACCTTCAGACGAAGTGATGAATGAATCCAATCATCTTTGCTTTGAAGGGACCGTTCGTGTCACAGTGGACACCCCATCAACAAATTTCGTTCGGAATATCACATTTGCGTTGTTGAACATGCCCTCTTTTAGTGAGACAACTATGAACTGAAAATGTAGTAGCACCAATTTTCAGAACCCTGAACTCCAATGATGAAATAAATTTGCCTAGTATATGCATTTGTAAATTGTGTGCAAGGATGTGAATTGTGAACTGTCACATGATTGCATCTTTGGAGCAAGCTGGGCACATACCTGGGAGTGCGGAAAATGCGCCTTGATCATTCTACCAATGTTTTGTGTATGGCTCAGATCTAGGGCAGCATCAACCTGCAGTATAGGAACCACAACATCAACTCTTTCCCTTTAGACACTTTCAGTTCAAGACATAGCTTTTACAAGAGAACAACCCTGTTAACAATGAAGAGCCAACAAAGTAACAACTTGAAATGTGGTAGCAATTCTTCCTAACCCGTACTATGCCCTACTCTTTACCATATTGTGTAGGAAATTCAGCAAGACTAATCATGTTCGCAAGTTAAAGCTGGATAGTTGAAAAGGTATTGTTGATTTCATTTCCTGTGCAGGGCTACCTGAAGCTCTTATTACAAAACTAACACACAGTATTCCAATGACCAGATAGATTAGAGTGGATGATGGTAACTGGTAGTTGTAATAGGATGCAAACATACCTCATCTAATATATAAAGTGGTGCAGGTTTGAAAAGAAGTAGCGCCAGGATAAGACTAAGAGCGAGGAGGGACCGTTGCCCTCCACTAAGTTCAGATAAAGATTGTTTCCAAACTGTTCCAAATGCCACCCGAACTTCAAGACCATCCAAAAAAGTACCACCTTCAGGAGGATCAAGTTTGGCCATTGTGCCAGGTAAAAGTGTACTGAATATAGATCCAAAATCCCTATACAAAAGGAAAGGAGAGGTTATCTACCAATGTCTGTTACAAAGAAAAGTAATGCCGCGATACAGAGTCTGAGCAAGTGCAGCCACTGGAAACAATAACAAGTTAAAGAAGGATTCATATACTGACTTGTTTACTTTAAGCCATGTGACTTTCAAGGTCTCTTTCTTCTTCTCATCCAACTCTTCTATCACTGTCTTGATTTTTGACTTGTCATTCTGCAGATGAAAACAAAAGGTTTACGTATGCTGCTTTTAAAGTAAGTCCTAGGTTATCACTAGAAAAGGTAAGACCCACCTCAATGATGTTTTTCTTTGACATCAAATCATTATACTCATCCTCTGCCTTCTCAAACATTGCCATAACTTTCTTATTGACCCTCTTCTCAAGACTGCATGTGAAAGTTATTGATAATTTGTGCTTGATGAAATTGCAGATTAACCAATTGAAGCTATTCAGAATCATATGTACCTGGATTGTTGAGCTTGGAGATTTTCAAGTTCTTCTCGTGCTTTATGAGGTTCACATGATACAAAGTCATAATCAGTGCCACTTTTTCCAAACAACTGTTTTTCAGTTGCAATCCAACTGTACTTCTCTACTAACTTATCAACCTTTGAAGAGCAATCCTTCTGCTCAATCTCCATCCTCTTAACCTACATGTTACATGCAATTGTTTAGAAAAAAAAAATAAAAGGTCTGCTTCACCTATAAAGCAGAAATATGTAGCAGAGATTACAACCAACAGTTACCTCGTTTTCCATTTTCTTCCTTTCAACATTTGAATCACTTAGTTGCTGCTGCAGTTTTTGCTGCTCCTTGGCCATGCTATTTATCTGTGAGTCACATTCCTTCAGTTTAGAACGCCCAATGTTGAGCTCAGATTCAGCTTGATCATAGTCTTGCTTTATGGAAGCAACCTGCATGGTGAGTGAAACACAGCACAATACTTTAATGAATGCAGTGCAGAGCCTAGTAACAACCCAACAAAGAAACCATTATACAGCATACATCACTACCTTGGTCTGATGCCTATTCAAAGTTTCAGTCATAGCGGCAATTTGAGCTTTTGAAGTTGTCAGTTGCTCTTCAAGCATGGCAAGCTCATTGGCAACAGCATCTTTCTCCATAATAAGCCTCTCCCTCTCACTTTCATGGGCCTGTTGCAAATTAGTGAAATGGAAAACAAGAGATGTCTTAAAGATTGAATAATCAATAATCAAGATTACACTTCAAAAGACAAGAGACAATAGAAATAAAGAATGAAGCCATGAACAATATCATGCCAGAAATTCAAAAGTATGTGAGTTTTCCATATTTAGATGCAATTGTCTAGCTTCTATACCAAAATCAGTCATAGGGTACCATGCAAACTTGAATGTATGTTCAACAATTTCCCAGTGGTTGATCAATGGAAATTAATGAAATTCAGAATCTTCAAAGTAAGCAGTAGGATACGTTTATCTAACTGAATATACATATCAAGAGACAACAAAACTATCCTATGGACTGCATTTCAGATTTCTTTTCTTTTTTAAAAAAAAAGTTCGTTAGGAATTAGCAGGGAAAAAAAAGAAGGAAAAAAATGAAAATACTCCCCAGAGAACATCATTAAGCTATATTTGTAAATTAGTTACTTCTGGTTAGCAAGACAGAAAACCAACCTTTAGTTGCTTCGACATGGACTGCAACTCCGATTTTAATGATTTGATTTTTCTTTCCAGAGCTTTGAGTCTACCTTCACGCTCACTGCCATAAGTCTTGATGGTCTTTTCTAGCTCAGAAACAGTAGAGACAGATTTTTCGTACTGCGCTTGCTTTGCTTTTAGCTCTTGCTTTGATTCCTGAAGCTCTTGTTCAAGTTTCTTTACAAGTTCACCTAGCTGAATTGCAAACAGAAAAATTATTGATCCAACTGAAAGCTTAAAGGGGTTTGGTATCCATACTGATGAGGTAAGCTGATACCTTGTGATGTTCATTTTGCTCAACACGGTTCTGAAATAATGACAGGTCATATGATTTGAGTTCAAACTGTGATTTCAACTCTGTGAACTTCTTCTGCAGAGGCAAAAGCACCACAATCTGGAAAACAGGGCATGTTAAAATTCACATGTATCAAACAAATTTAAATTTGTAATAAACAGTAGCTTAGTAGCCACCAAGCTGACACTAGACTAAGAAAAGTAGCATATGCATGATAATTTAGGATGTATTGATGAGTTTGAAGGTAAATGATAGCACTGTAAATGAAATTTCTCTCTTATGATCTTCTCCATCATGTATAATGGCACCAAATTTTATGTGACGGCATTGTTATGTGGCAAAATAAAAACTTTAGAATGGATTCTTTATTATGTGGTTAGCAGCAAGTCTGCATATACTGTGATATAGCATCACTTGACAAGGTCCTGAGTTTTTGGTAGAGTCCTGAGTTCAAAAGGAAGTAGGAAGTACGTAGGCAGCAAGTGGTTGCAATGAATTCAGTTAATACCTTTTGTTCAATAACAGAAAGTCTTTTCTCATGATTGGCAAGATCAGCCTCAGCTTTAGCTAATTCATGTAGTTGCCTTAGCAAGTCCCCACCACCTCTGCATCAACAAAATCAATAAACAAAAGCAAACAAAGAATCTGTTTATCTGATCATATCAGTCAGTACAATAAATACTAATTCACAGTACTCATTTTAATATCAGACAGCCATTGAGTTTATCTCCAGGAAGTACATAAATAGTACATTGTAATACACCAAAGACAGTCACCCATGTCCCAGGTTCTGAATATGACCAAGCACAAACGAACAGAGGAATGGAGAAATTAATTTACATTTCTGCCCTAGATTATCCTAAAAGGCTTACGATGCTGGAGAAATCATTGTTCTTCACATAAAAGCATTGGACACTATAGTAAGGGAACACAATTACCACATTCTACTAGCATAAACCAGGTATAAACAATACGCAAGCAAAAAAAAGTTATAACTGGCACTTGCCTGCGACTACCTCCAGTCAAAAGGCCACTGGGCTGAAAAATGTCACCTTCAAGGGTCACACTTGTACTGCCAACTTCTCTGTTAAATGCAACCTATGGAAAGAACAGAATCAAATGTAACAATAGGAACCAACATTTTACGTATATATCATACTTCAATTGACAGCCCTCAGTAAAAACTGAAGCAAAAAAATTTCCTGAATGCAGTATTACCTCTTTCGCGGATTCCATATTTCGACACACAAATGTT